TACCACGAGCGGTACTATGGAGAGCGCTTAGGGAACGGAACGTGCCAGAACACCTGGTCTCGCTGGTGAAGGACATGTACGATGGGGCGAAGGCAGCTATACGCACCCCACACGGCCTAACGAAGGAAGTGGACATCACGGTTGGGGTGCACCAAGGGTCAGCTCTGAGCCCGTTCCTCTTCCTCCTGACACTAGATGTCCTGGTGAAGGGGCTCATGGAAGGACCACTAAAGACCATCCTCTACGCTGACGACATCGCCCTGATAGCGGATAGTAGAGAGGAACTACAGGCCAAGGTGCAGCAATGGCAGAAGGTCCTGGCAGAAGGCGGACTACGGCTGAATGTCAAGAAGACCAAGTTCCTGAGTTCTGAAGAGGGTGCAGAGCCGATCATGGACGGCATGGTGAAAGCATCGAAAGAGTAGAGGACTTCCGATACCTTGGGAGTGATCTGGCGGCCGACGGCAGTGTGGACCAGGCAGTAATGGGGAGGATCAACGCGGCATGGATGAAATGGAGGGAGTCCACTGGAATCCTCTGCGACCGAAGGTGCTCCAGAGCGCTCAAAGGGAAGGTGTACCGAACAGTGGTAAGGCCTGCGATGCTCTACGGCAGCGAGTGCTGGCCCCTGAACAAGAATCACGAAAGGCAGCTTCACTCCGCTGAGATGAGGATGCTGAGATGGGCCTGCGGCTGGACGCGACTGGACAGGGTCAGGAAACGAGGATGTCAGAGCGGTCATGCAGACTGCCCCTGTCCAGCTGAAGGTGAGGGAGCAGCGACTGCGATGGTATGGGCATGTGCTGAGGAGGCCGCAAGGCCACCCGATAAGGAATGCGATGGACTTCGAAGTGCAAGGCAAGCGACCGCGAGGAGCCCCAAAGAAGAGGTGGAAGGATGTGATCAAGAAGGACCTAGGTGAAATCACGGCCACTGCAGGAGATGCCCTAGACAGAGCGAAGTGGCGACGACTGACAAAGACAGCGGACCCTGCGACTGCGCGGGACTAACGCTAAGGAGAAGAAGAAGAAGAAGAAGGGTGGCGAAATGGGAGGTCCGACAAAAATTGACCAAACCGACAACTATCTCTAACTTTATCTTCCCTTGAGAGAAATCAATCAATACTGTACCCTCTACTTATGCATGACCTCTTCTAAACATTACACTATTAGGTTTCCCAACAAGTCGCGTCATTCCATTTCCAGACCTGGTTTTTCAACCAGAACTCGACGGTCAAGCTCCATTACCTTTTTTTTTTATAGCCGAGACATTGAAAAACTAGTAGAATTCAAAGAACAAGTCATGACTAAGTTAGGAATGTACGCCTGGTTGATTTTCTCATCTTCTCAAGGATAATTTTTTCAAAGAAATGCGGTCACTTTCGTGGATAAAGCACCTTACTCCTAAACACCTAAAATTCGAGCTAATTCCTAACAAACATTAAAACAAAACAAATGAGCGAATAGAGCAGAAAAGTGCTCACAAAAGATACACCAGTTGATATAAAACAATAGCGTTTCAGAGGAAGAATTTCAATTTGAAAATTGCCATGGCTTATCGGTCGGCCAATTCGAAAAGAAACAGGGCAAACCTTTTTCGGCAACCTAAGGGTGGAATGTTCAGAAGAGGTCATGAGTAAGTAGAGGGTACATCATTGATTGATTTCTCCGCAGGGAAATAAAGTTAGAGCTAGTTGTCGGTTTGGTCAATTTTTGTCGGCGGGACCTCCCATTTCGCAGGCCTAAAATTTGAAAACCATGGAACATAGATGGAAGAAGAACACGATATCTTGTAGAGCAGACAATTCTCTTTCGAATGGTATATGACTCGATGTAAAAGCATGAGGATTTGGATGAAAATTTTTGGTTGAAAAAAAGCGACACTATTTATGAGACAACCTAATATATGCATATATATATATATATATATATATATATATATATATATATATATATATATACATATATACATCATATATATAGTACTTACATATATAATATATATGCATATATATGTGTGAATTATACATATATACATCATATATACACTGCGTCTCATAATTATACGTCCACACCGAATTTCCCAAAATCTCAGAAATGGGGAGTTTTTCAAAAAGTCTCCAATGTGACAATGTGTCATATATAAATGCGGAATTGCTTATGAACATCAATTTTCTATTTAAGATCCTAGGAATTTTTTCCAATAATTTTTGTCTAAAAGGCCACTCTGCCGACGTCCCAAAATTATACGTCCACCTCACGTTTATCGATTACTTTTCACTTCTGTTCCACGAAACTTTTTCATTGTGGTAACACTTCACTTCTTAAGGGGACTGCATAATAAAACTGCTGTTGGATTTTGAAGGGTTTAGGTGTGTCGTAAAAAATGTTGAACAACGCAATCGCGCCAGACTTGGACGAATCACGCCAAACTCGAGAACTTCTTCAGGGGTTTCACATGAAAAGGAGTTTAGAAGAGCCTCGAGGGTCTCTAATTACTTTTCGAACGAAACCAAGGCCGTGTCACAAAAGAAACATCCACTTTCATCCAACGGTGCTCTGTCATCGAATCTTCTTCAGAACTTAATGCCTCAACCAACTTTTGTTTCATGCGTGTGAAGGAATCCCAAGATCATTCTTGATTAGTAAATGTGAAAGAGCATTCATTTGTGGCAAGGAATCGTGGCGAAAACTGGGCTGATTTTTGCATGAAGGTGCAGCCGAGCCGACTGGAGCAGGGTCCTTTTTTCCTTGCTATGCATGAGTGTTTGTCTGTCTTTCTTTTCAACATTTTCTTTCTTTTAGTAGTGCTTCACTAAGAAAAAAGCCATTAAAGGGAAAGGTAAACGTGAGAAGAGAAACAAACAAATGCCAAAACATATCGGGCAGAAGCGAACCTTACTTCAGTCGGCTCGGCTGCACCTTCATGCAAAAATCAGCCCAGTTTTCGCCACGATTCCTTGCCACAAATGAACGCCTTTCACATTTTCCAATCAAGAATGATCTTGGGATTCCTTTACACGCATGAAACAAAAGTTGGTTGAGGCATAAAGTTCTCAAGAAGATTCGATGACAGAGCACCGTTGGATGAAAGTGGATGTTTCTTTGTGAACACGGCCTTTGTTTCCATCGAAAAGTAATGAGAGACTTTTAGAGCTCTTCTAAACTCCATATCATGTGAAACCCCTGAAGAAAATTCTTGAGCTTGGCGTGAATTTGGTCCAAATCTGGCGCGATTGCGTTGTTCAACAGTTTTTGCGACAACCTAACCTTTCTCAAAATCCAACAGCAGTTTTTATTATGCTGTCCCTTAAGAAGTGAAGTGTTACCAATGAAAAAGTTTCGTGGAACAGAAGTGAAAAGTAATCGATAAACGTGAGGTGGACGTATAATTTTGGGACGTCGGCTGAGTGGCCTTTTACACAAAAATTATTGGAAAAAATTCCTGTGATCTCAAATAGAAAATTGATGTTCATAGGCAATTCCGTATTTATATGCGACACATTGTCACATTGAGACTTTTTTCAAAACATCTATATTTCTGAGATTTTGGGAAATTCTTAGGTGGACGTATAATTATGGGACGCAGTGTATTCCACAAAGCCTCTTTTATCCCTGTCTAATAGTTTTCAAAAGTCAAAAGAGTTATCTTTCTGGGTTCAACGTCCCATGTTGTGATTTTATTTTGGAACGGGAATTCCAGCCTTGCCAAACGGTAGTGCGCGTCCATATACGTAGTCTCTCGTGTCGTATGCTCACTCAGTTGGATGGAACACCGGGTGGTATTTTATGAGGGGAAGTCATTTATGCGCATAGGCGGATAGTAGACCAAAGAAATTTTGAGACAGTACAGGCCATTCTTGTGTTGTTTTGAACAAGTAACGATTAAGGATGCCCCTCAATCAGTGTTGGGAGCTTAGCATTACGATTTTGGATCTCTTCCCCAACAAGCGATGACTCACGGCCGCTTTCGAAATTGGAAGGTCTAGCAACATGAGGGCCCCACATCTTTGCTTGGTTTGCTTTTTAGAAAAATGTCTGTTGTGAAAAGGAATAATGTCGAATAAGTAACGAAAGAGAAGTAAACATCGATCAGAAGACTAGTGCAGAAAGTTTATCTGCCTGAGGGTCCACATTACATTTGATACAAAA